GGGGTGGCAGGGGGCCCTGCTACCGGGTGGGAGGCACGCATGGCGTGCACAGCATCCCCCCCTCCGGCGCTGCTTTGGTGACAAAGCCGAGCCTTTTCGCGAGCAGAGAGGATAACAATTCCTGAGCTGCAAAACCATCCAAGAAGCGGTCCCCGAGCGCGGTGGCAGCCCGTCCCCCAGCCGGGCCCGTGCTGCTGTGGCTTACACGAGCACACGGTCATGCAGCCGGCACCGTCTCCGGAGAGCAGCCGTGGCGGAGTGTTTGCGTTTGCCTCACGAAGGCGCTGATGGCAACTAACTTCAGCAGCCTCTCGCAGCGGCTTTAATTTGGGATAATCCCCGAGTTAGCGCTCAAAGCTGGCATGCCTTTGCGCCCTGTATTTCTGTGATTTGGGGGTCTTTGTCACAGCTGGGGCTCGGGGCTGCGCAGCGATGGATTTGGCAGGGGTGAGACCTGCTGAGGCGATCGCAAGGCGGGGAGGAGGCAGGTAAATCAGGGAAGGGGGGGATGCTTGGCAAGGGGCCCGGTACCCTGGCCAGGGAAAAGCCTTCCCTTCACACACAGCTTTTAGTCCACGCTTCCTAAACTGCCACATCCACCTGCACCGGATCCAACCTCGCTAATGGGTTTAGCAAACTGTGTTTAACTGGTCACCCGAGCTAATCCCAAATCCTGAGATTAGAAAGAGCTTCAACTGCAGCTTGAGACCGACATGTCCTGGAGGGTCAGTGCTGGGAGTTACCGTTTTAATTGGCTTAAGAGCCTCCGTGGTGCAGCAAATCGGGAGAGCATGGCTAACACCACCCGGAGCAAAGCCCCCGACCACAGCCCGGCCCCGGCTCAGGCCAGGATCTGGCAATTGCCCGCAGGGCGCTGGGCAGGCAGGCTCAGCAGCCAGTGGGCCAGAGAGCTCCCACCCTCTCCCTCGCCAGCTCCTCCAGCACATTGGGCAGGGTTCGCACCCCCCCTGCAGCCAGCGTACCCCCAGAGCTGCACCGGGATGGAGAGGGCTCGGGGAGGGGCAGGCAGAGGCTGTGTTGGGGAGGGAAGGGGCAGGAGCCCCTCTAGCGCGGGGCACGCTGTGCTGTGAAACAAAGTGAGACATCCCGGGAGCATCCCGGGAAAAGCAGCAGACGAACGAACGCGTGCAGATGACAACAACAGGGAGCGGAGGAGCCTCTGTGCTACAGGGGGGGAAACAGCACCGAAACCAGAGCTGGGCACTACCGGGGCTCGGTGCACTGGTCCAGGAATTCGTCATTGTCTCCCCTCCCCTCCCCGCACCCG